GGGCTAATAATAATTTTCCCTTAGTGTAATTGGTTCTGTTAGTTTATTCGCGTATAATTCGCGTATAATACACTCAAACGTATAATTCACATTTAATACCCTTGTTTATGAATTTTTCAGAACATTCTGAAAAATTCAAAAATATATTGAGGATAAAATGTATAATACATGCAACGTACGTATTGATACGTATTTTATTAAAAAAACATCATTAAACGGAAGCCTAGTGGAATGGTACACTTGAAGCAAGATGTCTAGTTGGTCAATAATATTTATATTGCTTAAAAAAATTATGCCTTATACGTTCGTTAATTGTTTAATAGGCATTAGATTTAATAAGTTAGATTCTTAAAGTCGTAATCGGTTTCGATATTACTATTGTATTACTCTTGGTAGCTCACAAAATTAATCTAAGACTCCAAAAGGAAAATTATTGTGACAGCTCACAAAACTAACGACCGTAGTTATATCAACTATTCGCTAGTAATATTTCTCTACTTCTACTCAAGTAGGCAATGTCATTTTTATTACTTATTGTACATATGAGTTTAAATTTGTACATTTTAAACAATTGAAGAATGTGCTACATATGTCAAATAACTATTTATTTCTATCATTAAATTAGTTATAAGACATGTATTATATGCCGTATTTTAAATTGTGCAATGTTTAATACACGTCCGTATTTTTAACCATTTCACAAACATATGAAATATATAATTAGCCGTATTTTATACAATCATATCGTATTATACGCGAACGTACGTATTATTGTATTATTCATGAACCGTATAATACTAACAAAGGTAAATGGTTATGTGTTTTTTCACCGACACATTCTCTCTTATATGGGAAGTCTTGAGTTTGAGACTCTTTTAAAGACAATTTCATATCGGTTTACCCCATAGCCCCCAAGCCCCATTCCCCGACCCCTGGGGTAAAAAAAAATTCCCAAAGTGCATACATAATTACAAATAGAAATTAGTTCAAATAGGACTAAAACTATGACAAAAAACTAAATTAAGACTTGCTATGTTTTTATTCCAAAATAGGACCATATGAGTCCTATTGGAAACATACCTATTTTTGCATTCGATTCTTACCCTTCCATTAAATATGAATTAAAAATAGTCAAAAGTCATAATTAAATGTTTAATTCATAATAAATTCGAAAAAAATTCAAAAATTCGTAGAAATATAATTAAAAATTTTATAAAATTTTTATAAAATAAAAAATTCAAAAACTTTTAAAAAAAAAATATTTTTAAAAAAATTAATAAAAAATAGTAAAACTCCGTAAAAAAAATTAAAAAAATATGGATGCCTTTCCCACCGCCTGTACTACCTCCCAGCACCACCACCTCCGGGCGATGAAAAAATGTCATTTTCCCAGAAAAATGCCATCTGAGGGAGTTGAATGAAAATCACAAAGATCACTATGAATCAATTCCAAAATTCCAGAATTTCGATTAATATTTTGAAAAGGTTGTCTTGTGATTTTGGTCAACATGCAAGTTTTACATTTTTCTGTATTAATATCAAAGGCAGGAATTGATTCATCTTTTGACATTTCGTGCATTCTTCTAAAATTAACGTGACCTAAACGAGCATGCCATAGCATGGCATTATCAATTGAAGAAGTAAATGATGCAGATGATACAAACACAGAATTTCCAACAGAAGATAAAGTATCAACCAAAATCAAGCAAAACATACGATTAGTAAAATAACCAAAACCAATAAACGTGCCAAATCGAGATAAAATAAATTTATCCGATTCAAAGACTTGCTTAAAGCCATCAGAATTTAAACAACCACCACTAACAAGGTTCTTACTAAGCCTAGGAACAAATAAAACATCAGACAACTTTATTGTTTTTCCCGAAGTAAACGTAAGACTAACAACTCCAAAGCCACAAATTGGTTGACTCGACTTATCACCCATCATCACCGTGGAACCATCATCAACTGGTGTCAATTTCTCGAACCATCGACGATCTTTACACATATGACTTGTGGCACCCGAGTCAACCCACCATGTACGATCATCATCCTGTACATAAAAAGAACCAGGAATTAGTGAACAATAATTCTGAGTAGAATTATAAAGAGGGTTAGAAAGATTCTGACCTCCTCTAGATGCAGTAGAGTCCTTAGGCCCACTGTTTCCACCACCACTGTTTCCTCAACTACTATTTGCAGCATTGTTCTTATTGAGATTCACCCGACAATCACGCTTAACATGACCCGTCTTTTGACATCTCCAACAAACCAGATCCTTAGGATTCTTATTTGGTTTGTCTCGGCTATCATTCTTGCGTTTGATGCCTTTTCCCTTGTGATTTTGATTGTTTTTGTTTACTTCAACCATGTGGACAGTAGGCTGTCCAACATCAGGCTTTGCCTTATTTTTGTCACCTTCTTGAATGCGGAGTGATTCCTCAATCTGTATGTGACTACCGAGTTGTAACAGAGACAACTCTTCATTTTTTTGAGTTTTTATTTTTTTTAATTTTTTTTTAATTTTTTTAATTTTTTGAAAAAAAAATTAATTAAATTTTTAATATCAAAATGTTTTTCTTAATTTTTTAGTATTTTTTAAGAATTTTTATTATTTTTTATTATTTTATTAGGAATTAAAACATTTTAATAGCTATAAGGGTATAATTGTCCAAGGTACACATAATTAGTCCTATGCAAACATAGTTTATTTTTTGGTCCTATTTGTGCAAAATAAATTGTGTGAGAGAACTAACTTTTTGTGAAAGAGAGAGAACTAACTATTAACGACTGTTATTTAGTACGAGGAGTTTTTTTTCATTTTTTGTCCCTGACTATTCTGACATTGACACTTTTGATACTCGTCTTTTAATTTTTCCAATTCTAGTTATCGAGTATTGTGCTAGAAACATTTTTATTCCTTCTATATTTAGTCCTCTGAGTATTATCAAATTGACACTTTTAGTCTTTCCACTATCATTTTGATACAATAAATGGAGGACTAAAAATATTATTATTATAACATTTGAAAGACCAAAAACGTCACTTTCAGGGATGGACCGTAGTAGAGACCTAGGGGGACTACCCCAAAAAAAATTTAGTGTATAAATATATATACGAAAAATAATCCCCCCCCCCCCCCCCCCCCCCCCAAATTCCGCCCCCTCAAAAAAATTTTGAACTCCCCCAAAAATTATTTTCACCCCCAAAGCATAGCCCACTCGCAGATTCCCAATTGTTTAAAAGCCTAAACAAATACTCCCTCCATCCCATTAGAAGATTTTCACTTTTCTTTTTTAGACGTCCCTTATAAAGGTTATCGTTTCCATTTTAGGAAACAATTAATAATCTTAAGTGACAAATTTTTTAATAATATTAAAAATGCATTTATAACATCACAATTATCAATACTAACTTCATTTATAAATATATACCTATTAAAATTATTTCTCAAAGTCTAAATAACCGTGTCATTTTGCTATGTGAACCTTCCAACGGGACAGAGGTAGTAGAACTTATAAAAGTAATATTATATCAGCCCAGTCCAAGACTCCAAGGAAGATACACAACTCAACCAAAATGAGATGGAATAAGGAGCTAGAGGTAGACTCGGGCCGGGTGGCCCGACCCGGAACCGGCCCGGGACCGGTACTGTTCCCGTGCGGGCTCGGGTCCGCCAAATGATGAACCGGCCCGGCCCGGTTCCGGGCCTTTTATTTTATTTTATTTTCAATTTTTTTTTTATTTTTCAGGGATGGGCTGGGTGTTTTGGGCCATTTGGGGTGGTTTGGGGGGTGGGGTGAGGGGGGGGGTATTAGGGGATTAGTTAGAAAATTAAAAAAAATTGGAAGTGGCCCGAGGCCCGGCCCGAGGCCCGGTGGCTACCCGACCGGTCCCGGGCCCAACTATTCTGAACCGGTGGCCCGCCCGAGCCTAGGCCCGGCCCGAGTCCACCCATATAAGGAGCGACAAACTCCCAATCGCAAACCCCACCTGCGATCGAGGGAACGAGAGACCGAGTAACGAATGAGTTGCTACGCTGCAACGACGCCAATTACACGGCCAGTCCGTCATCCTGCCACCCGCGCCCCTCAACAAGTCTTGGAGTTCAGCAGACGCATCCGTCCAGTCCGGCAGTCCCTCTGCCGGCTCTGAGGCTCTGCGCGGCTGCGCCTTTGCGCATCTTCGGTCTTCACTCGCCGGTGCAGCGGTGTTGCATCTCTGCGGCGGGCCAGCGGCTCTGCACCTTTGTTCCTCTGCGACTCTTAGGTTCTGCCAATTGGTATTTTGGACAATTTTTCATATTGTTTTTTTCCATTTTTCCATACGAATTTGGGTTTCGATTGAGCAGGAGAAGGTGGGTTTGAGATTTCGATTGCAACATTATAATCTCAATGTTCTAAATCATCCAAAGTTGGCGAATTTTTCTACAATGGTTGAACTTTGTCAAGGATTAGCGGAGACAGAGACGTCAAAAGTATCTTTTCTTATTGATAGATTGATCCGACTTTTGTTGATTCTACCGGTTTCAACAGCAACAACAGAAAGGGCTTTTTCAGCAATGAAAATTATAAAAAAGGAGAATAAGTATCTTGAGACAACCTTGTTGTTTATATTGAAAGAGGAATTGGTAAAACTTTTGACTCAAAAACTGTGATTGAGGAATTTATCTCGTTGAAGGAGCGCCGGACACAATTCTAAGGTATTGAGTATTGACTTAACTATTTTGTAATAATATATTCGTCTCTTCTTCTATTTTTATTTTTTGCTTACTGTGTACTATTTTAATGTTTCATTTTATTACTATTAACTACGAGTATTATATAAAGGTTATAACTTATAATAATGAGCGCCTATAATTTTGTGTTTAAATTACCGCCCTCCCAAGATGAATTCCTATTACGAGTAACAAACATTCAAGCATTAAAATAACTCGATCTCAATTTTCTGAGTTTTTAGATGATTAACAGACTTCATTAGTTCTTTCAAAAAAAATAGACTTCATCAGCATAACAGAGGAAACTTAAATTCTGAAAGTACCATGGCAGTTATATACTTGCGGCCCCGTTAAAGTAGAGGCGGCAAATTGGAAACAGGCTTCAGGATTTAAAGTCTGAGAAATTTCATACAAAAGAATCATTATGATGTGTACAAAATATATGACTTGGTGCCATTTCATAAATTATACAATAGCTAACGAAGAAAACAAACTATAGTGAGCTACTGTGGGGGGAGCAAAGGCCATATATCTTGGTCTAGCAATTGTAAAAGAAATTTTGAAAATCGAAAGTACTCCAGATGAACAGAGTGCATACAGTTCAGTTTTCCCTCTTACCTCTTTGTTCAAGACGAGAAGTAATTGAACGCTCTACATCCCAAAATTGCACATCTGCACAAATTCCATTTCTGAGTCAACATATTTGGTCCATAGATTCTTATATTGATTCATGGCGATGTCTAGCCAAGGTTTCATGTCCCCGTTGAAATGGATTACGGCAGCATTGTTGATTTCATCCATGCCTACACTCGGATTATAACCAAGGCCAAGGACATGCCACGACCGATCCAATGATTTGGTTGTTGAGTAGAACGTGATCAGCCCAGGTGGCAATGTTCCCAGCTTCCATAAGGTTCTATCGTCATTCTAATAATTCCACAAACAAATTAATTAAAAGAACTAAAAAATTCTTGGCAGTAATGAAAGAGCTGGAAAAAGAAAAGTTAATTGTTTTATGAGCGTGGTTGGGATACAGCAGACTCGTCCTAGACTGAGCCAACAAGAGAAAAGTCTCAACTAGAAAAACATTGAAGAGAAATGACCTAATCAAAAGTCTGATAATGATAAGCCCTTACATATACACTACTCACAAAGTCTTGTTGAACAAGTGAATGGAGTTTTAAATCTATTAAAAGAATGCTAATAGGAATAATAAAAATAAAAAGAAACCATTACTAATATTAATAATATTAAAATGATACTAATGTTATTACTGATGTATATCAGGGATATTATTAGGCTCAATAACATTCTTGAACTCAATCTATAGCTATCTACTCCAACATTCATCAATAGAAGCAGATATTATTTGGTATAAAAAAAAAAGATTGAAATAAGTAGCATAAGGCTCACCAAATTTTGCCAATAATGATACTGCTCAGTCAATTTTTCAAGCCTCCATACGTCAAGATCGAATATATTCATTCCAAATGCCCACGCACATGCCTTGGGGTTGAACTTTTCCCGGATGAGAGGGTGAGAGAAGTTCAGATATTGGGAATAACGGTGAAAAGACCCAAAGCAGGTCTCAACAGCTCCGTTTACCTTCCCACCCATATCGATGTTCCAAAGTGCAGTCAAATCCTTCTGGACCACAACATCATCGTCTAGGAATAAAATCCTGTGCAGGTTCGGATACATTTCCGGCAAATAAAACCGCAAGTGATTCAAAATCGATAAGTATTTAGGGTTCTTGAATTTCATGTTGTTCACTTCCTTAGTTGCATTTTCTGCTGTGTTCTGGAAGTAGAACTTCTGCAGGTTTGAAGACTCGAGTTGTCTGAGCACCGGAACATATGAGGATGTTAAGAATTTGTAATCCTCTATTGATTTTATTTCAATATGAGCACCCCCACCTATTGGCCTCATCTTGAACCAGACCTTCATGGCAGCCAAGTTCATCTTATCAGTAACAATATGGAAAACATGTTTCCATGGCTCCATTGCATTTTTAATGACTGAATTCACCACCACAGAGACTGCAATGACATTATCAGAAAAAATTGCATAGTGATACAAAGTGGGGTCCTCAAACTCAGGTTTAGGTGGCTCTTCTCTGTACTTTTCTGGATTGGCAATTCTCTCACCCATAAGCCGCATTGCAACACAATGCAAGCTCTTTGGAGTTGACTTTGCAGCTATCAAACTGGCAAACGCACCATTTTTCTTAGCCTTCTGAAGCAACTCACTAACTGCAAAGATTGTATCCTTCAACTTTTGAATCTTTAACTGATTATCATAAGACTCTTTTGTTTCAGCTATCATCGACCTTGTGAGCTTGATTTTATCCTTGACCTCCTTCTCAAACTGTCTCAAAACGTCTTCATCCATAGGCCCATCAGTTTCAAACAAAGTGGATTGGTAATTTGGTTTGATTTGAAGATCTGAGAACGTCTGAGCCAAGTCTTCAAACAAATTGAGTTGTTTAGAGATTTCAAGCTTGAGTTTCCTCGCGTAGGCCGCATAAGCATTCACAAGTGCTATATGATCACTGGCTTGCTGATGTAGTAAATCTAATCTAGTCCTTAAAGGATCTGATTGCAAAGCGAGAAATGTTCTGTGTACAATCACGTTTTCAGATGTCTGCATTAGAGGTTTACATTTAACATCATTTACTACAAATCCATCAACTCGGAAAGAGGATCGGTTAAGAATTCACATTAATATAAATTCATAAAGCCAAGCATGGTAAGCACATGAGATATACATTAAATCATACAGTCATAGTATGAGTAGAAAAATAAATATGAAGCAATTAAATCAATAGAACTGAAGTTTGAAAACTATGTCCTTAATTTAGGTAGTTACTCCATTATCTACTCTTCAGATCTCCACCATTACAAGCTCATACTGCGTCTTAACATTCAAAAATATTGAGCCAGGTAAGACGAGGAGGAATCATAACGAATTTATAGCCGAGAACAATATACTCCCTCTGTCCCTTACAAACTTCATGTGTTACTTTATTGAGGAGTCTAAATAAAGTTGAGATTTCCTTATTTGGTAAAAAATCTTATCAATTTATTCTACTGCCTTCCGGTAATAAGGATTGTACATCAAACAAGGTTAACCAGTGTGCTCTATAATAATACTTGCCTTCAATAAAGGAGGCATTTCAGGATTTTAAAGAAAAAAACTTAAATTTCCTTTGAATGCGTTATATTCAAACTTAGTCAGTTCTTTAAGGAGCTGGGGGAGTCTTAATCATCCAATCCAAACATTCAAACAAACAATCGATATCAAGCAACTTCTTAGTTAGAAGCATAAGTAAATAGCACAGAGAAATTCTATATATTGTGTGTTAATTTCAATATTCACAACTGAGCTACGATCATTGTTTAAGGTTCCATGCAGACATCGAAAAGCAAAATTGAATACAGCTGACATACAGAGCCGCGATGAGTCGGGTGAGACGAGAAGAGGACAGATAGAGTGGCAACGAAGAGTAGTGTGAACATTGCTGAGACAAAGACGCGATAGGAGAAGAAGTTGCGAAGTGCCGATCCGCCGGCACCTCGGCCTGCTCGGACTGCAACCGCCATTCCAGATCTCTCCGACGGATCAAACGGTTGTTATAGATGCGGATCCGCGCGTATATTTCGCTATATTTGTATCACTATGAGGGATTGTATGTCGATTAAAGTCACAATATGAAGATTTGAGCGGGCGCTTTATGAGATTCTGAGACGAGTGAGAGTAAGCTGAAAATGGGGGATCTGAGTGAAGGCTGAAGCTTAGAGGGGAGACCAGTCCCGCGTCGGTGGAGGAGTTTCCCGAAATTTTTTTATCCCGGTGAAATGCGTATCATATGATTACTGTAGAATTCGCCACGAAACTTACGAAAGCCCATTACAAAGATAGGAGGGGGACAAACTTCACTCTTTATCTGTCAGATTGGAATTATAGTTCAATTTACATCCTCCCAACGTATCGTCCGATCGGGGTTGGGACCCTCAGGGATGAGGCGTCCAATCTAATATAGCAAGCCCCTTAGTTTTGAAGATTTTTCTAATGCACACAATTGGACCAAACGCTTCTTTTTTTAAGAACATTTAGAAGTGTGATTATTTCTCAATTTCTAAAAGCCTGTTTCTAAGAGCACTTTAAGCATTTAGAAAAAAAAAGGATGACACATCATCCCTGAGGGCCTCCAATCTCGATCGGACGATACGTTGGAAGGATGTAAATTGGACTATAATCTCAATCTGACAGATAGAGTGTGGGGCTCTTTAATTAAACATTTAGAAGTACACATGCACCGATGCACTTTTACTCAAGCATTTCAATATTTCTTTCTGCTTCTTAAAGGAGTAAAATCAGTTTTAAGGAGTAGATTCAAACACCTCGTAAGAGCATTTCCAATATAATAATGTAAACGGTGCATACGTGACATGACATATATGAACACACAAAATTGAATTAATGAAATTTTCTCTCTTTCTTTACACAATCTTCTACTCCCTCCGTCCCGCTAACAATGGGACAAGAGTGAGTAGCACGCAAATTAATAAAAAGTGGTTTATGTAGTTGATATTGAATTGATAAAGTAAGAATAAAGTAAGAATGATTTAGAGTCACACAAACTTTACCAAATTTGGTATGAGACAATCTTAGTGTGATAGACCGATAAGGTAAAATGGGACAATCATAGCGGGACGGAGGTAGTATATTTTAATTTATTGTTAGTAAGAATTTTAATCACAATATCTACATCTAGTGTCTAGACATTTATTTTGACATTATGAAGAAATAGTCGTCAAAAATTGATAAGATCATTCAAACAAGGAGTGAGAGTTTATATTGCTTACTCCTTTCATTCGCATTCTTTCCTTTTTAATTTGTTCCTATATAAATTCATATTTCCCTTGTTAGAAATGAATGTGTGATTCACAACATTTGTCTTCACATTCTCTCCTTTGCACAACTTTAGACCTCACATTTCTCATTTTTTTAATATGCATGTCATGTCATAACAGAAGTGAATATTGGGATACTCTTAGAGTATTTGAGTCAGCCCTAGTTGAAAGTTTAGTCGGGTTTGAATATGTTCGATGGGCCGAAAAAATTAAATACAGTATAAAAAATAAAAAGTAACAAATCCTTTTAAAGCAATATAAAAATTACCCCAAAAATAATAAACAACCTAATAATACGCTAACTTTGTAGCTTATGTACTTCAAATTTTGAAAGCTTTAGACCTGGATTCATTCTAGACCCCAAATTTTAGGGGAATATTTTTTAAAAAAAAATTAGTGCGCTCTTAATCATAAAAAGTGATATTTTAAAAAAGTATTCAAAATAGAAATAAATTGAGTCCCAGGTTTTCAGATTTAGAAAACGAAAAGAAATGATTTTTCGGTAAATAAATAGTTTTGAGTAAGTGTGGTGATAGTGAATTAAATAACTGAAAAATTATTCCAAAATACTCGTAATACTTAATAAACAAATTTAAAAAAAAATCAAACCACCCGTTGTCAAACTCTTTTCGAAAATGTTTTTTCATTATGTGAATACTCGTAAATGTTTTCTACACACATATGTTTGTGAAAGCTTTTTTTTGTCTGTGAACATCGATTCACAGACAATGTTTTGCACAAACAAAATATTATCTGTGAACCGGGTTCACAGACAAAAACAAAAGCTTCACAAACATAGTGTGTATAAGGTATGTACACACCATGCTTGTGTACATCAAGCATGGTTGTTTTAAATCAAAAATGATGTTTGTACACACCAACCATGCTTGATGTACACACCCATGTACACACCTTATACACACTATCTTTGTGAAGCTTTTTTTTTGTCTGTGAACCCGGTTCACAGATAATATTTTGTTTGTGCAAAACATTGTCTGTGAATCGATGTTCACAGACAAAAAAAAAAGCTTTCACAAACATAGGTGTGTAGAAAAGTGTGTATAAGAGTGTACACACACACAAACATAGCTTTCACAAATATTTTGTTTGTGCAAAATGATGTTTGTACACACTCTTATACACACTTTTCTACACACCTATGTTTGTGAAAGCTTTTTTTTGTCTGTGAACATCGATTCACAGACAATGTTTTGCACAAACAAAATATTATCTGTGAACCGGGTTCACAGACAAAACAAAAAGCTTCACAAACATAGTGTGTATAAGGTGTGTACAAAGGTGTGTACATCAAGCATGGTTGTTCAAACCCTCAGCTCTGTGCCATATGAGGCTCCTAACACGTACGTATTTTCTACTACATTTTATCACTAAAACATAGTATCTCAGTTCTTAAATAAATGCAACATGTTGAATTTTACACTATTCACATGTTCTACTTTGACTACGTTTTATTTATTACGGAGTAATGTATTAACATATTTTTTTGAAAAATATTGTTTAATTTGACTCATTGTAAATTTTCAAAATCTAATTTTTTTTAAATTTTTTACTAATAGAGAACTATATATATAAATGGTCAAAGTTGTGTCTCGACAAATGTAAAATGTTGACCGTTGCATTTATTTAAGAACGAAGGAAGTACTACATTCGAGCATATTCAAGAAAGGTCATATACAAGCGAAAGACTATCAACATCTTAAAAAATTATCACCAAAATATAAATGAAGCTAAGAAAGAATAAATTATTAATATAGTAATGGTTTATAAATTTTTAATTTACGGATATAGCTTTTCTATATTTGAATCAGATTTTCATTGATGCTCGCATAACATTCTCATCTACACAGAGTCACAGATTCTAATGTGAAGTACATCTTATAATTTCACCAGGAACAGTTTCAAATCAGGGACGAATCTTTTTTGTTCTTGGTTTGGGTGTTCATATGAACACACAAACTTTTGAAAATAGGATGTAAAAATACATATAAAGAATTGATTTAATAATTTATATATTGATTTTTATGTAATATATATAGTAGTACATGTTTCTTGCTCTTAACCTTATTTTTGGGATTTTAAATTTTAATATTGAAAAAATTATATTTCGCGATTGGTGGACCAAACAATATTATTGTGGTCATAGCTAAAATAATTTTGAACACCCTATATTTGATTGCAAAAGATCATCTGAGATAGCCGAGGTTATGAATAGGAGGGAAAATATCAACATAATGTCCATGCAAGAAACTAAGTGGGTTGGAGAAAAGGCACGTGAGATTAATCCCGGAGGTTTTAAGCTGTGGTACTCGAGGAGATAGAGGAACAGAAATGGAGTAGGCATTATGGTGGCACATGATTATGTTGAGGGTGTGGTTGAAGTCTTTAGGAAGAACGATCGCATCATGAGCATTAAGTTGATAATAAGAGATGAGATCATGTCCGTGGTAAGTGTCTATGCACCACAAGTGGGATTGGATGCATCTATCACTCAACAATTTTGGGAGGATCTTGAGGAAGTGGTGCGACGAGTGCCAATGGGAGAGAAGCAAGTCATATGAGGCGGTCTCAACGGGCATGTGGGCCCAAGTCGTGATGGTTTTGAGAGTATCCATGATGGACATGGTTTTGGCACTAAAATGAAGCAGGGAAGAACATTCTGGATTTTGCCGCGACATATGAGTTGGCTGTGATGAACACTTGTTTCAAGAAAAGAGACTCTCACCTTGTCACCTATAGAAGTGGAGCTAATAGTACCCAAATTGACTATTTTTTAGTACGGTAACTTGGAAAACTAGCTACACTGATTGTAAGGTTATCCCAGGTGAGAGTGTTGTCACCTAGCATAGGATGCTTGTGCTTGATTATCTAGGTAAAAAGAGGAGACGAGTTAAGGTACAAGGGGAGCCAAAGATAAAATGGTGGAGGCTCAAGGGGAATCTCCAACAAAGTTTTGCACACAAAATGTTGGAGGAAGATGTATGGTCTATTGATAATGATGCACATGTATATGATATGTAGTTATCAATGCAGTCCACCATTAACAAAGTGGCGAAGGAGATACTCGGAGAATCTACAGGATGTCTGCCACCAAAAAAGGACACGTCTTGGTGGAATGATGAGGTGAAATAAGCAATAAGGACCAAAAGGGAATGGTATAAGAAATTGGGCAAAAGTTGGAGCGATGAGAACGTAGAGGAGTACAAGGAGGCTAGAAGAAGAGCAAAGAAAGTTGTGAAGGAAGCTAGAGGAAAAGTGAACAAGGAATTGTATCTAAAGTTGGATTCTAAGGAATGAGAAAAAGATATCTATAGACTTGCTCGCCTTCGTGATCGTATGACTCAAGATATCGGAAAAGTGAAGTGTGTGAAGGATGTTGATCAAAGGGTACTGATGGAGGATGAAGAAATAAAAGAGAGGCGGAGGTCATACTTTGATAGCTTCTTCAATGGGAATAAAGTGCAAGGTATTGATGATCTTACTATACTAGAGTGTATGGTAAATCGGGACTTCGTGAAAAGGATTCAAACAACAGAAGTTAAAGAGGCTATAAGAAAAATGGGGCAGAAGAAAGCAGTGGGTCCAGATGGCATACCGATCGAGGCTTGGAGAAGTTTGGGAGAGAAAGGCATCGAGTGGCTAACATGTATCTTCAATGTGATTTGGAGAAATAACAAAATGCCAGTGAGTTGGCGGAAGAGTACTCTCATTCCCTTATTTAAAAATAAGGGTGATGTACAAAAATGTGCTAACTATCGAGGGATTAAGCTTATGAGTCACACTATGAAACTTTGGGAGCGAGTGATTGAGCAAAGACTTCGTAAAAGTGTGAAAATTTTGGAGAATCAATTTGATTTTATGTCTGGACGCTCAACAACTGAGGTCATTCATCTTCTTAGAAAAGTTGTGGAGAAGTGTAGAGACACTAAAAAGGATCTGCATTTGGTGTTCATTGACTTAGAAAAGGCATATGATAGGGTACC